CACCCGAGAGGTCACGCCCGGCTTTCCAGTCGAGCATAAGGGGCGTGGACTTCTGAAGGCTCACGGAAGCTTATGAAAACCTTCTAAGTAAGCCCAACGAAGAAAGTTCATGGAGGTGGGACGTTTTGCTCAGTATGCGATCAGTCTTCCCAATCTTAACCACTGCGGCACCTGTTATCCAACCCTGCATACGGCCAACTAGATTCCTGGGCAAATCGGAGTCGGATCACTACACATGCCCCGAAAGCTTTCAGTCTTAATCTCAAAGTCAGCCTTCATGTTTGTGAGGATTTCTCCAGATCAATTGTTCAAAACCTTGCAAAACCGTTTGTCTTTAAGTTTAGAGCCGAGATTGGCGGGCCGGAAGGATTGCCATGGCCGGCCGGCGCGTCTCTGCGTCTTTGACAAAGCCACTTCTGGGTCCCGGCAGGAGAACAAACCTGCAGGTAAAGAAAGGCCTGCTTCGTTACCACACACACCTTTTGTCAGGACGGTGCAAGCGCATGCACGAGGTGCCAATGCGCGCTTGGAGGCAGAACATTCCCGATTTTGGCATATTTCAAGCCATTTTGTCGCTCCTGAAATACGACGAACAGTTGGGCTTGTGGCTTTATCCCAAGAGTGTGGAAGCCGCAAACCAGTTGTGATTGTAAAAGTATAGACCGGGGTCCTTCGGCAGAAGTGATCCCAGCCAAGACAGCAGTTACATTGTTTGATCAGGTCTTGCCAACTGTGTGGTGTTGAAGTCGTGCATCAATCTCATTCTCTTGGCCCCACGGTATCCAACACTGACATTCCCTCGGTGCTTGAGGCCACGCCGAGTTCAAACATCGACGACGGCGTTAGGAAGAACCACTTCCCGGGGACTCCATTAAATGCCGCGGGCCTTGTCGTTGCAATGCCTTTCTGTGTCCCGGTCTCTTACCGTTTTTTTGAGGCGAAGATCGTTCCGCTGGTTTCCGATGCCAAGCTGATGACAGGGATCGAGGCAACGTTCGCGATGGTGCCTTGCCTCTTCTTCAGATCAGCCATGTCTCAGCTGGGCACTGACTCTTTAGATGTACTGTTTGTCAAACGTTGTTTTGGATTTGCCCAGGTCAGCTTCCTGATGAACGTTGCGCAATTCACATTGCCCTTTTGCTTCGTTCGGGTGGGCTGGTTTGCAGCTGCTTGGGCCCAAACTAGAACGTTGTTCACTTGGAAGCATCCAAACACACAAGGCCGATTCCCGGAGACTGACACGTTGTGTCGATCATGGGCCGATCGTTCAGCTAGGCTCGACGAACACTCAGCAGCCGTGGCTACTTGTGTTGTCAAGCTGTCGAAGACTGTAAGCTCGTTTGCGTGATTCCACACGGCATTGAAAAGTACAGTTAGTTATATAGCGTGGGCAGTTCTATCGAACATTATGTATCGCAATATTTCATCAGCGCTGACTGCAAGAGTATTTCGAAAGCAGTGAGATTGCAGCACTTTGAGGTGTTCTTGATGGTGCTGGCGGGCTGGCTGTGCATGCATACAGCGCTGATGCTGCAGGAGCGTGGTTCAGGTGGTGGCTCAGTCTTCGGCCAAAACATGCCAGTTACTTGACTTTACTCGCTTTTTGGTGCCAGTATAATGTTGTCGGCCAGTATAATGTCAATTCCTGATTGAGTCCTGTCTAACAGTACACCTGCTACTGTTTGGATATGTACCACGTTCTAGTATCGCTTTTGCTGGCAATTCTCAGATGCGCTATAGCCTTGTCATGCGGCTGTCCCCTGCAAAGCTAATTCTTGCTAATGTTTGTGGTGGTTGTTGTCGTCGTCGTGGTGGTGGTCGTTGTTGCTGCGGCTACTCTTGGTCATCATTCATTTCTTGTCGCTTCAGTCTCTCCTCTTCCTGCCCCTCTCACCGCATCATCATTTCTATGAGCATCGTCACCGCTACAGTCCCTCCTCATTGTCAAGCTCATTCTGGTCATCCTCATCTTCATTTCCGTACACATCTTTCTGGCTAATTCCACTTTCTGTAAGTTAAAGCATTCGTTTGTGTGACTGTGGTTCCCATGTTCTTGCCGCAAATCTTCCTTGCGGCGGGGTACTCGGTTAGACGTCTTTGAAGCTTTTCATTGTTCTTGTCTTGTCCTGGTTGCAATTGAGGTAGGTGTCGGTGGCCTTCAGCACAAGACACATTTTTGTTTTGCATGCTCTGCTCCTCAGCGCATTTCTATGATGTCTCTCCTTGTCAGGAGGCTCTGGTCGCTCTCACCAAAGAAGGCATCCGCTTTCCTGCGGCCTGCCTTATTGCGGTATCTCATGATTGGAGGTGAGCTGCTTGTACCGGAGTCGGCCGCATCCTTATGTTAAACCCGTAGTGGCGGCCTGCAAATGTGGTCCACAAATTCAAGCCCCTAGTGTGGTTCGGCTACGTTTGGTTTGATATGAGGGATTGACATCATCAGTAGTCGGGGAAACAAGCCCAGTCGAGCCGTTGCTGCACAAGGTAGGCTGAAACATCTGAAAGTAAACTTAAGCTGTGTCACAGTGGGAGCTATCAGTTTGCGGCGGCTAGAAGCAGTCGTCGTCGTCGTGGTCGTAGTCGTAGCCGTAGTAGTCGTGCAGGTAGCACAGCGTACGAGAAGTGGAAACAGAAGTAGAAATTAAAGTGGCAGCTCTTCTAAAGGAAGAAGGGGAATCAGTGGCCGTAGCAGTCTTTTATGCTGTTTATGTCACGTCCATCGAAAAGCTTCCCTCCCTTTCAAGGAATATTCCGACCTCGCAGCGGTTGCGGTTGGTCCTGTCTTTGCAGCGTGGGCACAGCTCTTTGGCAGAAGGCATTGCTGTAGTATGTAGGTTCAAGAGCAAGGACTTGAAGGTGAAATTTGTCTTTCGAGGACGTTGATGGCGTAAGGTTTCGGGATGCTAGGCTTTGAGTTCAGGCGTCTGAACTTTGGCTCTCCCCGGCAGAGCATCGCGAGCACAGCAATGTGAGGCGAAACTGAGCCAGTCGCCTTCGCTTGTAGATGCTGGTAGCGTGGGCGTGGAACACACCTCTGCCAACGTGCTGCATCGTCATGCCTGTGTGGGCGTACGTACATGCCATGACATGGGGTTCGCAGACGTTTCAGCCGATGCACCTCAATCATTGCAGGCCTGCTTCAAGGGTCCAGGCAGCATTTCGATGTCTTCATGGCTCCCAAGGCTGGTCGCTCTGGCAGAACTTGCGGCTTACGGCAGCAACTGCACAATCAACCTGGGTCTCCCGGCACGCACAGAGGATGGCAGGAAGAACGATTCCAACGACAGCAGATTGAACTGGTAGTCTTTTTTACCCTAAACTCAAAGCTAGGTCCGCGCCTCGAGTCGTAGGCACTAAACTACTTCTGACCACTATCTAACTGCAGGGCAGGACTCACTGGTGATATATTCTCCAATCTTGATTGATCACATCTCACTTATGATCAAGCTTTACGTGTCAAGTCTCACACTGAACTTCACAATGAGATCGATACCTTTCATACTGGTAGATAGAGCTGAGCATTGGACGTTGCCTTCGCATTGCTCAAGTTGTTTAGCTCCAGTTAGAGGGTTGATGGCCCTGGAGCTATTTCGGAGCCTGGCTGGTATTTTGATCCAGGGCTCCGAGAGTAATTGGTAGGGGCTGGGCTGCCCCTCACATTGCAGAGGGCCTGGTTTCGGGGGCCTCCTGGCATCGTACCTGCTGGGGATTTTGACAGTGCTTTGTCTGTGGCTCCTCTGGATAGGTGCTGCTCGCGACTTGAGGCCTCCTGCTGTAGCAGAGCCTCAGGTGACTAGAACGCTCTCTACAGGAGCACGGAAGAGGCTGGCTGGGTACTCGCATGGACAGGGGGCTGCATATTGAGGTCAGTGGTTACAGGATTTCGGTTTCTAGGCGAAGTCCCGAACCCGTGCCTTCCGCCCCTGGGTCCCGCGTGCACCGCTCTCAGGAGAGCTCGACTTCCTCCTTTGAGCTGGTTGACCTCAGCCCTGCTTCCCAAGCTTACCTTGCATCCTCCTCCTCCTCCTCCGAGCCGCCTTACCCCTTGCAGGCCCCCGGGCCCTTCCGGATCAGCGTCGGACGTGCCGCCTGATCGCCAGCTCCCTGCCAGGCCACAGGTTAGGTCCCTGTTCTCGCCTCCGTCTCCAGGTTCCCCCTCGCAGGTCGTCAGGCCAGGTCGTGCTCAGGCAGAGCACCGTGTTGAGGCGGCCGAGCCTCTTGTTGCCGAAGTCTGTGCTGTGCAGCCCTCGCCTTTCACTGTCAGGTCTGTGCTTTCCTCGCCCTTGCGCGTGCCCGAGTACCCCTTGCCAGGCCCTTTGCGGCTCCGAGGTTGAGGCAGGTTTCCCGCCTTCGTGCGTGGACTGCCGGCTGCTGGGCTAGAGCTGTGCTTGAGGCTCTGGTGGAGAGCCCGAATCACTCCGAGCCGGTCGGGCTGAGCAACCGCATCTACTGCATCACTGCTGCCCGAGGCCTTGAGAGCCCCACGGCCGTCACAAGGCTATCGTTGGCGAGCTTCGTCATGGGGGCTCCGTGTCCCACGGCTTCCCCTCAGAGGCGGAGGCTAGGCTGTACTTTGCCGGAGCAGGCCTGGACTTCCCGGAGGCCTGATGGACCTCCCTTCTTTGCCATCGGTGGAATCAGGCCAGTTTACCTGGCCGTGGCCCCGTGGGGGCACCGAGGACCCTCTGACATGCGTTTGCTATGTTGTGATGAAGCGTGGCGGAGGGTTTGTGCTCTGCCTTACCTTGGCTACTTGCCCGCCGAGGCACTGCAAAGTGGCATGGAGAACGAGGCCCTGGAGATAGAGGCACAGGCTGTTCGGCTGGCTCCTTCGGGCGATTGGATTGCCCCGCTAGCCCACGAAAGCATAGGTGCACTGATTGTGGATTTGTCGGCCGACCTGGCCGCCACCCTCGACACTCCGGACCTCACTGCCATTGGTGGGGTTCCCTTTTCAGCCGAAGAGCCGGGACTTTTCCCTCTGGCCTCAGACGTCTTGCAGCAGGCAGCCGACTTCTTAGGAGAGGCCCGGTCGGGCTACCAAACCGCCGTCGAGGATGTTGTTCCGGCCCAGCGACCGAAGCCCAAGGCAAAGAGGGTTACCGTCGCCACGCTTGCTCAGGACCAGGCGGCCCTTTCAGGAGCTTGTTCGAGGCATGGCAAAGCAACTCGCTGCACTCCTTCCTGCTGCGGGCAGCAACTCCCTGGCTCAGGGCCCCGCAGCATGCGCGCTGCGACGCCAGCTGCCCGAGGCCGCCCCTCAAGGTTCCGGGTCAGTCGAATGCTCTCGTGTCTTTGGTGGGGCAACTTGCCCAGGGCTCTTCGGAGCCAATGCTACCTCCACATCGGTGAGGGGGGCTCTAGGCCGGCAGAAGCTGCAGCAGGAGCTCTCCTCGTCCCCAGGCGTGTTCTCCCGTCAGATTCGACAGAACGCGGCCCAGTCCAGCGCATGAACCCCACGGGCCTTGTCGATCCAGACTTTGCAACAATGGTTCGCTACTTCGAGCGGTACGGAGGGTATGGAAAGCAGCGCACCTTGGCACCACTCGCTTGGATGGTTGCCCAAGCGTCACAGACCACCTCAACCCAGGATCCACCGAAGCCTGTGCCGACCTCCTGGCCCTCTTGCAGCTGACCATAGACCAGGCCAACATAGATCAAGGCGACATGACGTTGGCATGGCTCCTAAGCCTGCAGCCGGACTCTGTGCCAAGAGGGCCCGGCCCCGATCTCCACTGCTACGCGTGCCTTCTCCCAACTAGCAGACCAGAGGTGGATAACGGTCGCGGTGTCCTACCTCAAGGAGGTGGAAGCTATAGGACAGAGGCGGAGCGAGGCCAGTGCCCCAAAGAAGCCGGCCTTGCCTCCCAAACCGCCCCTGCTCGTCAAGCTCCTGAGCGAGGGCGAGACTCTTTCGAAGAAGCAGCAGAGGGCTGCCGCCTGGGCAGCAAAGCGGGCCGCCGGAGCCAAGCCGTCCTGAGAGACGGCCAGAAATTGCATGCACCCGGTCGAGGGCTCTGAGCTTAGGCCGGGTTCCGAATTTAGCTTTAGGCTTTTTGCGTCTTCTTTGGTGCGCCGAGTGCTTAAGTCTGGCACTGGGTTCGCTCACTTCGTTTCCACTGCATTGCCCCTGCACCGCGACGGCTCGCTGCCCGTCGCTACCGCCCTCTTTCCCCTGCCCTTGCCCTCTGGTTTTGCAAGCGGCCGGTCCCGCAAACCACGCCGAACTCTGGCCCAACATGTGAGTGTGGTTGTTGCCATTGTGGTGCTTGCGCTTAACTTCCTCCATTCTGAAGGTAAGCCGGTGCCCCCCGAGGCTTTGCGGAGGCCCCCTTCGGCTGTTCAGTCTTCGGCTCTTTGCTGTCTTAGGGAGCTTGTGAAGGCGTGCGCCCGGCTTGGTGGCTCCGAGCTGCAGCCAGGGCGAAAGGGACTTCAGCTTGCGGCTCGGCACGCTGAGGTCCTCTCTTTTCTTTCCGAGTCGGGGCTCCAGGATGACTGTTACCTTGGACGCCTCGTTCCCCATCATGCCGCAAACTTTGTGCCCCACCGTCCGGGTGGTCCTGAGGAACTGCGGCCCTACCGTGACATCGACCCAGACCGTGTGGCCTTGTCCGGGAGAGGAAGCTGGGATATCGCTGAGCATCTGCACCCTAGCCTGCTCTTGCCCTTCTTGGAGCCCAAAACTTTGCAGACCTTTGTGCCACCGCTCGCGGCCGGGCCCTCCTTCTCAGGCGACAAAGCCCATCAGGTCTTGGGGCTCCTTCGGAAATGGGACGACCTTGGACTTCTGCGCTTGGTCCCGGGGCCTGTTGAGGAGACCGCCCTGACTCGTGTGTTTGGGTCACCGACAGATTGGTGACAGGTGTCACATGAACAACCGGGAGGGCCCGCTTCACGGACGGCCCCTCCCGAAGGCTCCTTGCCGGATACCAGCTCGTCAGGCTCAGCTGCCCTCGGTGGTCCCACAGCCTGTACGGCTCCTGTGTTGACCGCAAGGATTTCTACCGCCAGGCCGCCGTGACATCTACGAATGCCGTGGCTCCTGTTTCAGGCTGCGGCATTTCCTTGGAACCCAAGCCCTTGCGAGTTTTCTTGCATCTGCCGACAGTGCGTATCTCGCTGCCTGCGAACCCCCGGCCGTTTAGGCCTTCTTCGGTCCTTGTGTCCTCTGAGCTTAAGGTGCACGGTGCTTTCAAGAGCCTGTTCCAGGGCGATCATGCTGGAGTTGAGTTTGCCTGTTCAGGGCATGAGGGGCTGCTGCGTGCGGCCGGTGTGCTCGGAGACCCCCCTGAGGGGAGGCTGCTCAACTGATGCCCTGTATCGGTCCGTGGGCCCTGGACAGGGCTGGTGATAGACGACCTTTTCTGCATATCTTGCGAAGCCCTCCGCCCCGGCCCTTCAGGACCCCTGGTTTCCTCGAGCGAAGAGCTCCTCCGCAAGGCGAAGCAGGCGTATGCCCGCGAACATGTTGAAGGGTCCGACTCCAAGGACATTTTCAGCCAAAGGGTTTTTACCGTGGCAGGAGCTCAGGTCGACTCTTCCTCTCCCACGGTGCGCTCTGGGAACTGCTTGGTTGGCCTCCCTGCTCATCGTCGCCTGGCTTTGGCGCATGCCTCGCTTGCTGTTGCCTCTGGCCGCCATATCAGTGAAGAGCTCGGCTCGGTCTTGTCTGGTTGTTGGGTCACGGCTCTTCTTTACCGCCGGTGCCTCATGACCGCCATTGGGCCCCTTTTCTCTGTGGGGAAGAAGACGCCCGACGCTGGCGGGAGCTACCTGCAGCCCCTTGGCACAGCCCCCAGGCAGGACTTGGTCTTACTTTCGGCCCTCGCCCCTGTTATGGTTTCCAACGTTGCTGCTCCTGTCAGCTGTGAGGTTGGTTGTTCTGACGCCTCGCTCGCCCGGGGTGCGGTCTGCAGCACTCGTGTCCGCCAGGATGTTGCCGAGCACTTGTGGCAGTCCTCGGGCCAAAAGGGGTGGTACACCCGGCTCCAGAAGCAGGCCTCTGGCGACCACGAGGACTTCGAGGAGGAAAGCCAGCTTCCGGAGGCCGAAGCCCAGCCTGAGCCAGTGCCTGCGTGGCCCCTTGCTATGAATTACGATTTCCTGGAAGTCCGTACAGGTGGTCCCTGGGCCTCCTCTTTCCTGCCTCAAGGCCTCGCCGCAGGCCCTGTGATCGACGCCCGGGCCTCTTCGTTCTTCCGGGTCGCCGACCTACCGTGCCTTGAGTGGATTTGTTGGTTGCTCCAGGCCCGCCGGCTCCGTGCTCTGTTGGTCGTGCTCGTTTTCCCCGGCCTCGAAACAGCGTGCTTCAAAGGGGCCCTGCCGTGGTGAAGGACAGCAAGCTCCTGTGTGCAGCCCTCGCTTTGCTACTTGTTGCCACTCGCTGCTGCGTGCCTGCCGTTCTCCTGCAGCCTGCCCTCACGAAGGCCCGGTCCTTGCCTCAGTGGGCCCGCCTCGTCCAGCAGCATGAAGGGTTCTTTGCGGGCTGCGACGCTTTCTCTAGTGCCCGCTCACCTGTTGTGGCTTCTGACTCCAGACGCGAGCCGTGCCTCAGAGTTTTTCGGGCCTCTACTGCATGGGCAGGTTCCTGCCACCGGACAGGTTGTTGCCTCCTGTTTTGGGGGCCTCCTAGCCTCGAGCCCTGCCTCGCCTCCACCCTCAGCCTCGAAGCCGTCCTGCTGAATGACATCATGGTCTCCCACACTTGGTCGACGAACTCTTCTTGGCCGTGGCGGGGCGAGCCTACCTCCGAGCCCTCCGCCTCAGAGCTGCCGGTGCCGATGACCAGCGGTTTGTGCATGGCTTGGACTCGAATGTCGTGCTGGGGACGGCGTTGAAGGGCAGAACCAGCTCTTACCTCCTCCGGCCTATCGTTATGAAGGCCGCGGCGCTCCAGGTTGCCTACGGGCTCTACCCCCGCACCGCTTTTCTGCCCAACCAGGCTCAACGTTTCCGACTGCCCTACCAGGTCGCGCGGCTGCCGGCGACGGCTCTAGTCCTGTCTCTCTGGTTCCTCGGCTGTAGCAAAGGGGCTTCAGAGCCAGATTGCTGAGGGCCTTCTCCTGGGTAGCCGAGGGTACTGTCGAACACCTTCTGGGGAGAACGCGACGAGTTGCCAGCGATCTCACTCTGCAGAGGCTGGCCTACATCCCTGAACTTAGAGGTTAGGGCTTTAAGGAGGGGGCCGCCACCTGAGTCGAAGGCAGAGCAGGCAAGGAGGAGGCCAAGTCGAAGCCAATTCGCAGAGGGCCGAGATAGGCCACCTAAGCAGGATAGGCCGTAGAAGGACCCAACCTCAAAGGAGTTGGCAAGGCAACCGGGAACAGGCTGGGGCAGAGAACCGGGCGTACCTGCTAAGCTTGTTCTCGAACTGGCTTGCAGCAGCTGGGGTTGCCTTGGACGACCTCCTCGACTCCGACAAGGCCTCGGCAGAGACTGTCAACGCCTGGGTCACTTGCTACGGTCGCATGCTTTTCGAAAGCGGCCGAACCTACTGGCACTACTCTGAGCTCATTAATAGTATCACAGCCCGGAAGCCCATCCTGAAGAGGAGTATGCAGGCCTCTTGGGACCTGGCTTTTTCCTGGATGGCTTTGGAACCGGCGACCCACCATGTGGCTATGCCGGCGGTGGTTTTGCTATCTATGCTCGCGACGTGCCTACACTGGGGCTGGCTGGCCGAGGCTTGGGGTGGCCTCCTGCGAGTAGGGGAAGCTACGGCGATGACCCGGGCGAACCTGGTCTTGCCTCAGGACGTGCTTCTTTCTGAGCGCTATATCCTGGCACGCATTGAAGAGCCCAAGACCCGTATGCGTATGGCCCGACACCAGGCTGCCAAGATCGAACAGTCAGACTTGGTGGTGACCTCCCCCCGGCGGAGAAGCTCTGGCCACGCTGCACGCAGACCCTCCGCAGGAGGTTCGACCTAGTCTTGGAGAGGCTAGGGGTCAGCACGGCGAGGCAAGGACAGCGGCCTCTCGACCTAGGGTCGTTGAGGCCAGGAGGCGCCACTCATCTTTTATCCTGTACGGAGAACAGTGAACTCGTTCGGCGCCGAGGCCGCTGGGCCTCGCACAGGGTAATGGAAATCTACATCCAGGAGGTCATGGCCTGCACTTTTCTTCCCTCGTTGCCCCGGGCCACACGTGAACAAGTTCTTTTTGTGGCACAAGGTTTTACAGCTACCCTTGAGCAGGTCATCGAGTGGAAACGGCTAGGCATACCTACGACCTCCTGGTATGCTCTCTTCTCGACCGGCTAGCGGCCAAGCATTGGCTGAGGCGTGGAATGGACGGGAAGTTCAAGCAAAAGGCTTTTCAGCTGAAGCACCTGGACGTGTATTCCCAGGCATCTCTCCAGAGATGTACCGGCTATAAGCCAATGGCACACTTCGACAGTGCAGGGGCAAAAAGGAAAGTGCGAAGCTCTATCTAGGGATCTAGGTCTCCAGCTCCTCAAGTTCCAGGTTGAGCTTCGCATTGAGAAATATTCAGAAATATTCACACCTAATTATCGCCTCTAAATGAGTGCTGTTTACACTGTGGTTCATACGGAGACTGCTTTTGATGTTGTGAATATCTTACCCGAAAGGGGGTCTGGTGGCGAAAGTGGCTGATGCAATGGAATCTGTCCTGGCCTCTGCGGAATGTGACCCAGCTTTTTTAGCTTGTCAGAGGCTTTACTCTCCGGTTCGGTCCATTGGTTGGCGCATTGATTTCCTGATTCGCGCGTTTGTAGACAAATTTATCGGTGTTGTGCCGTTGAATGAAGGTCGTCTGTAATCGAAGAATTTTTCTCAGCCCTTTAGGCTGGAAAGTGTTCAACAGGTTCGCCGTGGCCTTTGTAGTTTCAAGCATTTCCAAGCCATATAGCACTTTGGTTGTGATGACCGCATTGTACACTATGAGTTTCCATTTCCCACTGCATTGAAACTTTAGCCAAGAAATGTCCAACTTCTTCAGAACTGGAATTGTTGCAAACATGTGTTTTCTGATTTCCTGTCTTGGGTCATGATTGGATGTTACTGACAGTCACAAGCAAGTTGCGTTTTCGGTCGACTTCATGCGCTCTCCACGATTGAACTGTATACTGCCGTGGCAGTTGAAGGAAATGCAAGAGCTCTTATCCTTGTTTATGTTCAATTGCAAATACTGTGACTCTTTCTCAATGATACGCAAGAACTTTTTTTGCTGAATGTGCACTTTTAGCCAGTATGAGAGTGTCATCTGCGTACAGCAACTATTGAAAGTTTGTACCCTGAAAGTTTTTCCGATTTTGCGGGTCATTGAAATATTGATTCACATCATGACACATGCAGTGCATTGTCAGTATGAAAAGGTAAGGGCTTAACGGACATCCTTGTCTTGCACCTGTCCGTTGTCCTAAAGATGCGCTGTGAGGATCCTTGTGTGTTACTTGGAACTCTGGATTTCGATACAACGCTTCAATAGCTGAGACTACATTATCTGGCATGTTTAATATTCTGCGCGAAGCAAACATTTTGCTTGGTCTATCTTGCCAAAAGCTTTTTCCCAATCTCAGAATAACAGGAAAAATGGGTCGTTGCTGTGTTCAGCTACATCCAGAAATCTTCTAACGCAAAACAGTGGTTCAGCGGTTGACTTTCCTTGTCTGAATCCAAACTGTGTCTCCTGTAATCTCCTGTAAGAACGGCTCAACTGCTTGTGCAATTCTCGTTTTCAAGATATGCGTGAGAATCTTGTGCAATGTGTTGGATAAGGAAATAGATCGTAAATTTTAGGATTATTATGATTGCCTTTTCTGTAAATGCTGGCTATGCGTGCTCTTGTGAACTCATCTGGCACATACTTAGCAGCCCAAAATGCATTGAGACATTTTTGAAAGTTTGGACGTTATCGTTATCTAGATAATTGAATAAATCGTTCATGTATCCGTCTGGGCCCGGAGCTTTGCTATTTTTGAGCTTCGTAATTGCCGTCTTTACTTCCTGATCTGTAAATTTTCCAGTGTCGATGTTGAGGTCTTCATTGATGATTCGTCTTTTGGTTATGGTTTACTGACGAAGGGTTGTCGATCGGGCCCCATTGCTTGACGTAAAGGTATTCTGCTATGGCGCCACGAATATCTTTCATGTTGTAAACTTCGGTGTGAAGACTTTCCTTTGAGATTTCAGCTCTTTCCAACATTGCTTTTGTCTGCCAAGTCCTCCAGTTTTTGAAGAGTCCATGCTTGTTTATCCTTGCGCGCGCTCTGGGCGATTTATGTGTTCTCTCCAGCTTGCCTGGC